CATCTAGCTTGGAGAAGAAATTAAAAGAGAAGAAACTCAAAACATATTGTCGAGTATTTCTGCAGGATAACAAAGTGATAATAGCCGTAGGTCCCACGATGCATTTTTCGGATTATACGAGGGGTTACACGGTTCCGCGCGGATGATCAACTATAGTTGCTGCTGTTGTGCGGGGGAGCTTCAACATTCAACAACTGAACTCTTTAAGGTTTCTTCCAACACATTGATCAAAAGGACGGCGAAATGTGTACCAATTGGTGGTCATTAAATTGACACCGTGTTTGCCGAGCCTCTATAGGAGCTAGTTAACATGAGAAGAATTATTTGAAAATTTCCTGGTGTTCAGACCATGTCTAGTCCACGCGGAAACGTGTAACCCCTCGCATAATAGGACTGTTGAATAAGTTTCAGGCGGGATTTTTTGACATTGTAATATATCGCCGTGTTTTAATGCTTGTGTGACGTTATGGAAATTATTCCGCAGTGTTAGAGCCCTTTTTTCTCACTTCCAGTCTTTACTGGACACCATTTTTCATTTAAATTGGAATAAAAAAATCCATTTGGTCTGTTTTAAGAACAATGATTTGATCTGAAAGCAGCAACATTCTGTTCAATGTGCTTCAGTTCGTTTAAGAATTGTTGTTTCTTAACGTTTCCTTACGTTATATTTCACGTCTTACATACTGTTTCTTTTCGTGCTTTTCAAAAAGATCATGGGTGAATCGCTCTATAGAATAATTCAACTCCGAATAATAGTTGAAAAATGTTATTAAATTGGTTTTGAAAGCCTGTGGCTTTGCCGCAGCATCCATGAGCAGCCCATGGAATAACAAGTAATTTCTTGGAACTGAAAATTCTAATTTATTTGAACTCCATGATGGGTTAAAAAAAAATTTTGGGATTTTAAAAATTGGTTCCACTGAAGTACAGGCCAGGAAGGATATTTTTAGGTCTATACGTTCCTGTACCAGATAAATTTTATCTCACCGTTGGAATCGGTGTTAATCGCCTTGGGATCCGAGAACCTGCATGGAATTAATTCTGGCACATTATACGTCATCAAGAATGGCGAACTCAGCAGCAGATGCTTCATGAACTTCAAAAATTCCGGCTATATTTAGCCGGAGACCTTCTTCGGCTTCACACTGAAACCGATGGAAATTCCCAGGTTACATTATCAGCGCGAAATTCTGTTTGAAAATCTTCGAAAAAGCTTCCAAGGTTTTTTGTTGTTGCTTTGATGACATAATTGAATAAAGCATGTCATACCTTCCAGCGTATGTGTTGGTCAGCTTGTTCCTGCTATTCAATGTATACTTGGCAGCACTGGCGGAAATTTCAGGGCATCTCAACAGGGGTGTCAAGATTCCACACCCAACAACCGTCGCAGAATTAAATGACATTGTTCCTTCCTTGAAGAGATTAGCGGGGCAAAACCCATCTTACGTGGCTCTGCTGATCTCCAGCGCAATTGTGTATTCGCGGGCATTTTGCATGCCAAGCAACCTCCTTTTGGTGAGTATCGTCCAAGCATTTCAGAATTTTCCACTTATTATTGGTTGAACATATTTTTTGGATTATACTACATGGGATGCTGAATCAGAATTTAAGGATAGGAGCTTCTGAGAAGGTTTCGGACATCGACCCAATTTGTCTGCGAAAATGCGGCATTAGACTTTCAGATTCTTAATGAAATGTCATGGAAAACCTCTCGAGCTCAGAACAATTTTTCTTATTGCACAGTACTTGCATTGTACATTACGTAAATTAAACGAGCTTCTTATATGCTGCGAATGGATTAAAGCGCTTGAATTTATAAATTGGATTGTAAAGTAGATATCACTGAGCATGATTACATAATTTTCGACAAATAATCGATATTTAATCCTAATATTTGAGAAGCTAGAATCAATCCCTTTGTACGACGCACACCATGATTTTCTGCAATACAACATTTTTACTTAAAGAAAGAAACAACAGACTTGATTGAACCTCAAATCCTTTGGCGTCACGCGAAAAATTTCTTCATTCCGTTTAATAATAACTGCCAAATATGCTCGAGTGATTCCTATACTGTACATATTTTTATGCTGATAGCTCCTGTCGAGAATGTTACGAAAATTCCCAATGAATTATTTTTTTAGCATGGAAATTGATGAATAGTTTTTGCCTCAGAGATACGCTGCTGGAGCCGTGTTTCCGACCAAAATTGCGCTACCACTCGTTTCGGCAGCATTAACTTGCGGAAGCGCGTGCAGTTATTTTTTGGCACTGCATTGCGTGAAGCCATTGCTTCTCGATCAATTTCAGGAGAGAATAGACTTCATGCGACGACATGTAAGTTCATATATGAGGTAATCTTATTCTGCTAATTAACATCGGGAGACGATGAGACGTGTGAATGGACAATGCAATGTCAATGAAATGATTTGTCTTCCGCTAATTTATATTACAGCGAGCATCTATTGATGATATTTGGAATCCTAGATGAAAAAAGAAAAACCGCTATGATTTTTATCCCCGTAACGTTGGAAATTCGAGGGTAGATTTAGCCGTGGCGTTTGATATATAGTACATGAACGTCATCGCCTATATTGCAAGGTAAAATCGTAAAGAAAACTTATTTTTTTGACAGTAGATGTCACTCACTACTAAATGAATCCCTCGACTTTCCCTCTTCTGTACGATGGATGGATCATCAAACTGCAGTGACATAAAAATTAAAGTCAAACAGAACCGTTTCACTCGACGTTTTAATCTTGAAAACTATATGATCTGTGGCAAGGAGGCTTCGACAATTTTCGCTATTTTTTATGACAGTAGACTGAATATTCGATTAATCAGGTTCAGAAGAACCCAAGAGCAGCAGTTTTCCTCATCACGGGCCTCACGATTTTCCCGCTGTCGCCGACGTATCTAATCAACATCCTGTCACCTTTATTGGATGTTCCTGTTGGACACTTCGTCGTTTCTGCTTTCTTCGGTGCGTCACTAATTTGTTGTTGTTGCTATTTTCACCCCATCGCCAAATAATGCCGCAGTTCTTCAAGATGGTTGATGCTCTCGATCGAGCTGAGATCAAAAATAACCGCCACCGGAAAGCGGACGATTCTGTCAAATAAAAACATGCTGATGTAGTTCCATCATTCTCCTTGCTGAGCAGGCTGTGGCGAGCGATAGCTATAATAATATATACGGCTTGAAAATTGGGTCGCGAGATAAAAATTGAGCCGAGATTATTCCCAGCTGATCCCCTGGACTGGACTTGTCATAACCGAGCGAGTTTGGTCGATCAGTTCCACTTAATCTATATTAGGCATCCGTCGGTAGTCTCGGTACTCGTGAGGTTCATCATATTTTCGAGAAATAACGGTCTGTGATATCCCGTAAATTAGCGAAAAAATACTAATTTCAAATCCGAACGAGAAATATAGATTCTTCGTAAAAAAAATTGAGTCAATTTCAATGCGTTAAAAATAAAAACGCGCATTAATGTCTGAGAACATTTTTTGGGAAAAATAAATTCCAATGTTAAATGTACAGCCTGGTTTTCTGTGATACAACAATATTTCTATATCTCAGAAAAAATAACAATCTCATCGTTAAAAAGAAAATTGTTACTGCATTACAAATAATTGCTTACAATAAAATGTTTAACCTTTTCTTAATCCACGATAATGCTATTTTAATTTATATTCATACGGAATGTTTGCTCTAACAAAGCTTTTTTCAAGGCCCCAAACACTTTTTTTTTAACTGGGCAAGCGAAGGTTTGAACTTTACACGAGTAAAATTCGAGTTTTATTGTGCAAAATGTTTTTATGTTTAACATTTCAATCTCGTCAGTTTGATTTGAGACCAGCAAATACACTCTTGAAAATGTAGGTATTCCTCATTATAGTCCAAGAAAATGTATATTTTTAAATCGAGTATGACACGCTACCCATTTTTTAAACTTATTTTTTTTAGGAAAAGCTGCACATTACTCCAAATGAATACGTGGGTACTCTCTACTCTGCAACAAAAATCGATTAAAAATTGACGCTAGTGGATTTTTGAATTTCAGATCGATTTCGTAATCATGAAAGTATTTTTTTCCCGAAAATTTAGGGAGTCTTCCAGAAGCCGTTTTTCTGGTGGACTGTGCCAAAGACCTACCTGACATCGAACATACTCGAGATTTCCTGACAACGACGAAAGTTGCGTTGAATATGCTACTCGGAATGGCCATCATCCTTCCAGGTGTTTGGCTCGGAACTTGCCAAATCTCGTCATCATCAACCAACGCTGATGCTTGCAGAATTACTTTGCCGACCTTGATGAGGTCAGCATCGACAGAGAGTGATATTCGACGGCTGATCGCGTCGGACCTTATGGGTCAATCCACTCACGACCCTAGGGATTCTCTCAGGATTCGAAGGCCTTCGAAGCATTCTGCGCAATTTCCTGTTGCTGAGATTCGAAATTAAACTCACAAATTATTTCTATCAGCACTCTCTGATTCATTGTTGATGCTCATGAAAAGAAATAAGAGGTTTTCAAAATTGATAACATATGATGCAATTCAATAGTTCTTCGCTATGGAGAACGTCTCTCTACTATTTTGTCGTTTTTAGGTTTTCTTGCTCCATGTATGCTTTAGCAAAGCAAAAACTGCTCTCTGCATTCATAGGCTTGATTATGGATTCAAGGGTCCATCTCAAACCGCATAAATTCTTTTCCAATGAAAACCACGTCTTTCCATCAAGGAGCAAGAAGAATTTTCATGACACTGTACCAGCACAGTTCCCAGGTCTTTTTCATCCCTCACCTTCAAAATTCTAGTTTTAATGAGCTCTAAGCTAAAAGGCGGGAGCTAATTTCAACTGAATTTTTAGTTTCACTCATATTTTCGAAGGTAAACTTCAATTACACGCAGTTATAGTATTATAATGGCAAACAGAGGACAAGGTCAATTTATTTCTTTGTGCAAGCACCACAGGAACTTTCCCTCGTAAATTGGGACCAGAAATAGGGATATCCATAATAAAGTGTGAATTTTTTGATCATACATGAACTAAAAGCTTTACAATGCCTAATGTAAAAAAAACTGAAACCGGGGTTTTTTATTCTTTCTAAGCAAAAGGATATGATTTTTTTCAAATTTTGTGTTGAAACATCCACGTGTGCATCTTGACCAAGTGTGTGTGGCATTTCAGTTGAATTTCAATTTACGGCTCAAGCAAATCCAAGGTATACTGAAATAGGTTCTGGATTTGGTTGGCCAAGAATCCTGAAAAAATAAGTCTCGTAAATCAATCGGTCAAGAAAAACGGAATTGGATGCGCACATTTTCAAGTATTTTCCCCCTTTTTGCATGTTTTATATCTTTTCTTTTAAACTCATTTCACCATGAACAGGTTGGGTGGAAAACGGATTTATTTTTTTCATTTTGCACATTTCGGGCGCATTTTATTCCCAGCATTTTAATTTCATTGTTATACCCACCTTTCTTTTGCTGGCATGTAGCTGACATTGAATTCGGCGAACTTCAAAATTGCACCAAAAATAAGGTGTGACAAGAAAATTCTAATCCAATTTTGATCGCTTTTTATTTTCTCACTTGGAATAAAATGTCTTATGTAGCAAAAAATCCATCACGCGCACTTTTGAAAAATGAGGAACAACGCAAACAATCGGAATAACAGCCAAGAATTGTAAACAAAGGCAACAAAGAGATTTTAATTGAAGTTTTATGACTCGGCAAGCATTGCAGAAAGCCGTCTGCCAATCGAATCAATCTCACTCAGTCTCAAAGTTCGTCCATCACCTAGTACGAATCATAGCCCTAAAATATTCAAGTGTCCGACCCGCGGAACGCATTTCAACAATTCAGTTTGAATGAAAGCGAAGAAAATTATGATCATGACAGGTCGATTATACTTTAGCATACGTATGCAGGTAGAGCTTGGTCAGCGATCAAAGAAGACTCCACGCAATTTTCAAATCCTGAGGAGTACCCAGCAATATTTTAAAATTAAAGAAGGGAAAGAAATGAGCTTCTCGTCGTACCAAAAAATATCGAGTAAAATGGTGTGATGATATGAGTGGAAAAATATTCTACTTCGCGTCCAGCGAAAAGATCGAGTTTCACATTGAAGTACATGCACACTTCCGCGATGTTCCATGGAAATGACAGCTTTTGTTTCATCAGAAGTCTCATGATTTTCCCACGTGATTAAAAATACTCAACTCTCGAGTCCTTCTTTTTCTGTTCTTTTAAATAGACACAGAAGAAAAATGCGAAAAAAAAGCAACTGCTTCGTCATCTTGTCTCGGTATGTGAAAGAAATGGAAGTATTTTTGTCTCTGACTGGGTGCCGAATGGGGAAGACGTTTCCGGCAAACACGGACTGGCATGAAGACAAACTTCACGTGCCCTTGAGCTTCTTGTTTTGTCGGTTGAGCACCTTCATGCGACTCGGGTGCAAGAAGTACCACATGATGCTCTTCATCGTCTGGGGCAAGAAGTACTTCCCACCATCGATCAGCATGACCTGGAAGAAATTAAAAACCATGAAAGAAGCGTCGCTCCTCAAGTTTCTCATATAGATCACGAGGAAAAAAGTCGGGAAATATTTTAAAAACATTTTTCCTTCCTACGCTCAGATTATTTTTCGAGTTCTTGAGCTGTTTCCGGAAAAAATGTTTTTCATTAGATGAACTTGTGGTTCCTGCATTTAAAATTAAATTTTACGTAATTAAACGTGAGCAGAAATTCCCAAGAGCAGTTCTGAATTTTCCTTTGAAAAAAATGTCAAGATGCACTTTCACATTTTAAAATCCTTATACCTTATCCTTATACCCTTCACATTTCCAGTTTATGTGATGATCTCAAAAGATGCTTCGCTTTTGACAACCACTATCGAGCATAAGTACTTATATAAAATATAAGTCCGAAATACAAGTGACCCTTCGAGTGTGTAAATCTCCTTTTGAGTTCAAAGTTCAAGCATTTTTACCTTTTGCTTCACACACACTGACAGCTACGGGTAATACGATACTTTCAAAGATTGAGCTAAACACGACAAATACTGTACAACACCGAAGCTAAATTAGCTAATTTTATGAGCAGAATCTGCATTAAAATCGCAGATGACCTTGGAATATTATTTTTTTCAATGTCACGTGAACAAAATTTTTTTGATCGGTTTCGCGATGCGAATAATTGCCGCCAAATTTATGACATGTTCCGCTTGATTTTCTTTGTTTCGTCCAGTAACCTATAGTTATTTTGCGTGCCACAATTCGGACAGATTTGTTTATTTTATAGGGTAAAAGATCATCCTTTGATACTAGGGTCACCTAAGTTCCGGCAATTTCATGGACTAGAAAAATATAACTGGAACTGCTGCTTTTTGGTCGTAAAAGGCAGTCGGACGGGGTCAACGAGCTCAATGGGAATTAGTTCCAAATTGATTTGATGAGTAGAAACATGCGATATGATCTGTTAGAAGCCGGTTCTTTTACGAGTTCATCTTTGTGAATTATGCATGGATAATTGTCTGCCAAATTTGGCCAATACAGAGTTTCCTGAAAAAAAAGTAATACCCAGCTCCTTCAGAGAAGCAGCCCAATCTTACCACGAAATAGCCATAAGATTTACTCCAATCACGTCTAAATTTAAAAAATTGAACGCATGGATGGTAATTTTACAAACAAATGTGCAATTATGAGTCAGAAGAGTCTTTGAATTTTGTTCAATCGTTGCTGCGTTCCGTTGCATCGGAGTAAACGTTGTAATGAGTGAGTTGAGACCACGCATTTTTACCCTAAGCAATATTGAACCGAATGAATTACTTTTGGTTACAGTATTCGAAGGAAATTCAGGGATTTCTCCAATTCCAATTTATTTCACCGAAAAAATCGTCCCTTTCTCCGCTCTAAAAATCTGTGAATTTTTTTTAATCGATGCTAGCCTAAATTGATGCATGCAAAAAATAATAATTTGAGAATCCTGAAGGTTCCTAACCGTGGTCAGAAAATCTCATTTTACTTGAGCTCGATCTTGATAAAATGAAAAGTAGGAAACATCATTTTTAAAGCTCAATAACTCCTTGAAATTTCAGCACACTTAGCCTGAATACAAAATTCGACACACTTGAGCGTGCTGAAACACGCACTTCGGTAGATATAATTTTTGGGGAAACACTGTCTCGGTCAAATTTGGCGATTAGCCCTGATTCTGTATGGAGATGATCTCCTGAAAGAACTGGCTTCGATCCGATCATGCCTTATTTTTCTACTCATCAAATCGAATTATACTATTCTGAACTATATCAACTTAAACTCGTTCAACGCGTCCGACGATAACTCGACCAAAACCGATCAGTTCCAGTTATATTTCCTAGTCCATGCAACCATGGACTTGCCGGAACCTCAGCGACCCCATTATTAAAGTATGAAATGCTATCTTACACCTATAAAGTTTAACAAGTCTGATTCGATAGCGGCAAACACACCTAACTGGTCGTTATAAGGAACTATGTAAACACAAAGAAAATCAAGCTTAAACTAAATGAAGACTTCCAAAAATTCGAAAAAATCATATGAATCGCAAAGCCTTTTGTAACAACCCTTTTCCCAAGACAATAATCAATCAGTTCAGAATTTTCAAGTTCTTTTACAAATCCAATAGAGAACCGATTCAGAAAAATGCAGATTCCGCTTTGAAATGTTATTGCATTCACCACGTTTATTCTGATTTGTCGAAGTACATCACAATTTTTGCTTCTGAAGACATGGCACATTTTATAAACGCTCGTATCGGATTTTTGAGCATTTAGAACTGGAGTTTTCCAAAAATATTTGACAAATTTCTGGGCAAAATAATAAAATCGCTTTATAAACGAAAATCGACAGCTAATCGTGTTGCAAGATTCCTTGATTAACGATCATCATCATTACACCTGTGAGTGAATGTATGCAACTTTTAAAATGGCAAATCAACTTTGGAAATTTTATGAGAGAAATTATAATACAGTATCATAAATGAAAATTGACAGCTGATCATGTCGCAAGATTACTTGATCAACAATCATCATCACAACTGGAATTGTGAGTGATTTCTGTATGCAACTTTTTCAAGGCAAATTTGCCATATAAACGTTGCATGTTTTGAAAACAGGTGTAACAATAGAATGAGTTGAAAATGCATTCCCAACGCGTTGCAAAAGAATTTTTCAATACACCACCCAAGAAAAAAAAATGCATAACAAAAGAAGCTGGGCGTAACAGTTCCGCATAACAAATGCGTCATGTAATGCATAGCAGTTACACCCAGCCCTTCCTGTAACAAATTATTTGCTGGGAATGGTCTTTGACATGGACATGATGCATTAAACACTGAATTACTAATTTTAAATGCGTGAAATGTCACATAGAAAGATAGAATACAGGAACCGCAGAACTTTGGCAAGTTCATCATCATTGTCAAGAAATTGAACAGATGAACATATAATGAGGGGATTAGTTGACAAACCGTGAGGTTGTGGAACCAGTAGCCACCGGTTCTGTTGAGCCATCCGATGCTGCGGAGGTCTCCGCGCACAAAGTCCGTCGCCGACGGCACATAGATAGTCGGCTCTCGGACGCCACTCATGGCCGTCGCCACGTAGCCCGGGATCGCCAGGTGCACCAAAATCCCGCGTTCCTTGTACTCGTACTCTAGACTCGTGCTGAAGGTCTCCACGAATGACTAAATGCAGACAGATGAAGAGAGAGAAAATAAATCCATAATTAATTCCCTATTTCCGTACAGTACAACCAACGACGGCATTCAGACCAAGTACATTACAAAATAATCCATATGCCGACCCTTTTTTCCGGGGGTTTTGCGCTCGTGATCAAATCTTTCAGGTCCGAGGTGAAGGCCGACCTTTTTGCTCAATACCCAGGATTCGTCCTCAGAAATAATCACCAATATTTCAAGTGCCGAACAGGCCTTAAAGGAATTTCAGCAGAACATTGAAAAAAAAATTACGTGTCAAATTTGACACACTTCCAGAGACGGAATATCTAGCCGAAATTGACAGAATCCGATCAAAATGAAAGAAAATTCTATACAATATTCGAAGATTTTGAAATATTCGAATGAAATTTTAAAATTTTAATCGAAAAAATGAATTCACGATAAAAATTCAATGAATAAACTTTGGGAGCATATTTCTTTATCCAGCTATAATTTACCACATCTTTTCAAAATCAATAATGATAAACCCTGCACGTATTTATAAATTTTCGAATGCAATTACGTACAAGTATTTTCGTGGACAAAAACAAATACTGAATCACGATACAAATTCAATTGCTCAAATAATTTTAATTTTTGAGAGCATATTTTTTTAATCTAGTGGACATATTCATCAGATACTGTCCAAATTCGATGAACTTCTGTACAATTTACGCCTATTTTGAGATTTATGATAGACATGGGCAAATTAGATGGCCAAAAACAAATTCAGGACAACATTTCAATGATCAAAACTATATTTTGACAATATTGCATCAATTCCCAAATCTAATGAGAAAATAACAATTAAGATTTGTCCAAAATCAATGAAAGCATAATACACTGTACGCATGCAGATTCCAAAATTTGTTGATGAAATTGGAAAATTTTTAATTGCGAAAGATAAATTCGATTGCTAAAAGCATTTTAAATTTTGAGATTGCTGTGATGTCAAAGTACAGCATTTTTTATTCTGGTCAATCCTCTTTATTGCTAATCTAAAAAAAATTATTTGAAAAATAATCGCTCTCTCAGACTCTGCTCTCCTTTTATTGCTGAGCCTACCAAGTAGTCCGTTGGAGCTTCTGAAATCGTCCCGACACGCAAATCAGCCGGGGAGAAATATCTCAAACTTCAACAGCGGCAAAAACGAAAAAGAAAAAACGTCACGTTTAAAGCAGGGACAAATAACAAGAAGAAGAAGACGAAGAGGTCTTCTTTTCACCTTCGTGGCGGCGTAGACAGTGAGCAGCGGGACGCCGCACAGGCCAGAAATGGACGAGATGTTGATGACGAGTCCGTTTTGGCGCTGCTCCATTTGCGGCATGAGCATGCGCGACATCATGACCATGGAGGTGGTGTTGCAGTTGATGAGGTCCATGCACCGCCGGTCCCCGTTGGGAATGTCCAGCAGCAGTTCCGGGTACGGATACGACATCCCGACATTGTTCACTAAAATGCCAATCTCCAGGCCGTCCAGCTCCTTGCGGATTCGCTCATAGATGGTGGTCTCGGTGAAGTCCACGTCGATGATCTTGGTCTCCACGCGGAATTCATTTTCTGACGAGGATTTGGGAGGGGAAGCACACGGAGAAAGTTAAATTCACAGTCGACGAACGAACCAATGCTGACGGGAGGGATTAAAAAAAAATTTTTTTTACAAACTTTTCTCCTCAAAACGACACCAAGAAATTCCAAGTTGGCAAAACAACAACAAAATCTCTCGACGGTTGACTCACCAATCTCCTTTGCCACTTTTTCAAGTTTATCCTTGGAGCGGCTGATGAGCACCACATTGAGTCCTTTCCGCGCCAACTGAAAAAAAAGCAAAGTTTAAGATGAGTATCTCCGTTCTGAAATATAAAATTTTTGCCACATCTTTACCACCTGAGAGACCTGGCATCTTTACTTTTAATACAGTATACTGAAGATTCATGAGGAAGGATCCTTAAATGATTACGAAAGAAAAAGGTTCCAGATCAAAACGAGTTCACTAAAATTTTCATTATCTTGCGTACAATATAAATTACATTACAGTACATTATACGGTACTTCAGTATTCTCAGAACATGTACCGTTTTATAATTTTATGCAGAACTATGTTCAAGCACGCATTTCACGCTCAAATCGCGAGTTTTCATTCAGAAATAACTTAGAAAAGTCCCTGAAATTTGGAATGCATGAGGTAGCTGTTGAAAGAAAAATTGAATTCCGCTTTTTTCTTATTCTTATTTATTTTTGTAGAGGAAACGATTCAGTCTTACCTCCTGGACATACGCTTTGCCAATGCCATCCGTTGCCCCCGTAACAACTGCAAAATAAATAAATAAAAATCATTGAGTTTTTCAATAAATGGTCGCTAACCACAATTTCGATATATCATCCTTACACTTGACATTTTGAAAAGACAACGGAACTCCGATTATGCGGTCTGCGGACCGGGTTCCCTTGCTTGATGATCAGAAATTTATTGTCAGAAAAGTGTATTCAACACATTTTAAAAACCAAGAAGAAACAAACTGAATTATGATTCCCAATTTTTTGGATTCACGCGGAGCCTGTTTGGAACCAGCATCTATGACAACGCACTTCAGCTTAATTTTCAATTATATTCTTTCGTTTTTAATGATTCATAATAGTAGCACAGAATCCTTTATTTGACGGACAACACGCTTCACGGCGATATTACATCCTCATATTTGTGTTAACGTCTGTTGAATCTACATTTTTCGTGTAAATTAATTTGTTTCTTCCAAAAATTTTCTCATACTTTAGAACATTTGTGACAAATAATAACTTTTCAATCTCCGGCAATTCCGATCCGTGGTTCATACAGAACAAGCGAATGCCTGTTCACCGATTTCCAACTTGCATCCATTTCATGTCAAATTTACAGTTTACGGTACTCCACCCAAAATTGAACCATATTTTAAAACTTGCGTAACCCCTTTCGAAAGCCCAGCATTACATTGGTGACAAACTGACTGTGTGACTGAAAGACCCTGTGTGTGAAATCATGTTCAAAATATTGTTGGATGCTTGGACCTTGTTAACTTGAACCTCTCTCATAATTTCGATTGTGTTCTGTCTCTGTCTGAATCCACTCAAGAACGATGCAACACAGAGCTGCCTAAATCATAGACTTTCCCCTTCAAACCGTCATAAATCCAATTTCTGGAGGCCTTTTGGCTAATTTTCTGGTGACTCACAAAGGAGATGAGCAATAAATATATAAGAATGCTTTTTATTCAGTGACTCATTGGTAAAATGTCCTCCAAAGTTAGCATCCTGTCAAATCATTCATCCATCAGTTTAACGTAAAGAATATAAAATAAACTTAAATGTTCCTTCATTTTCTTTCATTTTCTACGACAGAAATTCCAGTTTCCCTAACTAAAAACTCCCCAAGTCAAAATTTCTGTTGGTCCCTCAGAGTTTGAATCAAAACGGGTTTGACTGTAGTATAGTCAAACCCCGTTAAGACGCCCCCAATAAATCACTACCCTCTGCAAACACCAAAATTTTGAATGAAACAAATGTCCTCCATGTTGAATTCTATAGAAAACCTTGATAACACGCCAACTGCCATCTGCCTGCTTTACTGATGAAACAAAAGTGCTGTTTCCTATTAGTTTTGTCTTTGTTACAACGCCAACATTGGGGTAGAATTATAATTTTTTTCAAGGATCTTGTATTTGTAAGAATAAAAAATAATGAGCATTTTGTTGAAAAATTTGAACAATATATTGACCCAATCTTAAAATTTGAATAAATTGATGCAAAAAAATTAATTTTTTTAAAGAGTAATCCATTGATCAAAGCAATACTATCTTTGAAAAATTAATGGAGTTTCTATAAAAAAAAACCTGTATCTCTATCACTTCTGGAGAAAAATCAAGCATTTTTCATCAAATAATTTAGAATGAAATATTCAATAAATCGCCAACCCCTTCAAACCGCCAAAAATTGCTCTGGAAAAATGGTGGCGTCTCATCCGGGTTTGACTGGTAAAACGCAAGCAGCGGAAAAAAGCCCAGCTCTCGAACATGTCTGTACACGCAGAGCCCCGACCCCACAAGCCTGTCAGTCTGACTCACAGCATGACCACTATTACTGCATAAGCTTTCGCAGGTATCCCCGCCTGAGGAAATTTCCACCCCAGAAGGAAAATGTTGCAGGAGGAATGCAAGACGAAAGAAGGAAAGGAAAGAATGAAAAAAAAAAAACAGAACGGAACCCCGACAAGGCAATGCGGAATAACGAAACGGAAACACATAGGCAATCATATTATAGAGGAAGTGAGGGGGGCGAAACGCACGGGGCGACTGTATTGCGTCATTTGTACGGTTTCACTTTCTTCCTTCCGGATCCGGCGGGAACGCGGGCGAGGCGTCTGTCTGACTTTTGCTGCACCTCATCAGGGTAAATCACAAAGTTCTCATCATTTTTTAAAATCTGTTTTATCCCAAGAACCTTCTTCGTTAACCAGTAATTTAGTAATGTACGTAAACCCCTGGCCGCATATACCGTTATTTGGAAAATTATCGTCAGGCATTTTACGCGGAACGATGCGCGAGAAAATTATTCCCAGGGGTTAAAAACCCGTTAATTTTCAAAATCATCCCTGTATTTTGAAAAAAAAAAAAAATTCAGACAGAATGCTGTCAGCATGATTTATTGAAGAGGGAATCTACTTTGAGGCTAAGTATGAAACAGTCGTAAAGAGTTCAAAACGTAATACTGTAGTGAAAAGTTCGTTGGAACCTCCCAACTCACAAGCGATCTTGCACAGGTGTTCACTTCCAAACCCTGGGCCTCTATTCGAAGTGGTAAAATGAAGAAGTTGTGAAATCATGCTTCAGGCAACATATTTTCCCCAATCCTGTGAACCACACATTTTATCACCGCAACGCTTAAGTTCAACTACGAATCAGAAAAAAAAGATGCATACAAATACTGTATATAGAAAAGACACATACGTTCGAATCTATCGAAGATTTGGCACACAGCACACCATTAAACTCTAATCACAATTCTTGAAAGTACTTCAAAATATTATTGAAAAAGAGATATGGAAACAGGGCTCTGAACTCACATCGAAAGTACATGATTCAGTAAAATATCGTACCCGAAAGATACAAAAGCAAAAGCAAAATTTCATTTCCTTACGCAAAGAATCTGGATGCGCACGTATTCATTTTTTTTTTTAACGGCCGCAGCGACATCGGGCTTTCATCATTTCAAGATTTTGAAGATACGGATAAGCGTATTCATGAAAAATGTTGGAATAAATCAAATGAAGCACGCGTGTGACTAAACTTCAGAAGAGTCTCGAAGAAATATTCATTTCCCGAAGCTGCTTGTCGCCTGAAGCTCTTGTACACAAAACATTTCTTCATCATACTCCGCTCAACTGCTCGACTAAAGGGAGGTAAACTTTTGCACAAGTATGGCGATTTTTAGAGACGCTCCTAATCACAAAAGTGCAGCAGGTGGAATTTGGAGGAGGCGTGTTCAAATACAATATATGACTAGAACTAAAAAAAATACTTTGTACACTAATACAGTATAGGACAGAATCATCCGTTAAATTATAAAAAAAAGTTCCCGTATTGTGAACGGCGGATAAATCTAGAAAAATCTTGCTTAAAAATGTCCACGAATACAAATGAAATCACCAACGTAAAATATCCTAGTCCTTTGTTTATCCTTCCTCAATTAAAATCCCTCAAAATTAAAATCCATTCCTTCATCAGCACTCACACTCTCAATTTAAATCTTTTAAAATTAACCACCAATGATCCCTGACTCAAAAAGTCAAAAATATTGCAACTGGCATTCATCTGAAATATTCCCTAGCCTAACAATGATATGAAACCTTTTCAAAAATTACTAGCCCAAAATCTTACAGTATATGTACTGTACTTGCTCAAAGAGGATTAATCAGCATAGACTGTATGACGAATCTGTTTTTCGCTTTCTCAATACTGAAAAAAAAAAAGATTTGCAAACGTTATTTCGTTATGCTCCGACTTCTTAAAAATGAGAAGTTAATCGACATAAATTCACGTTTCCGCGCTGTCAATTTGATCCTTCCCAACGTTTCAAATGTAAACCAGGATTCCCATATAACCGTATCATTCATAGACTGAGAAATGGTTGTAAGGATTCGCGCATTCGCAGTTGAACGTGATGTTCGACCAAAAAATGGTGTTGATCGAAAATTACATGAAACGACATCAAATTTCCAGAGGATATCAAGCACGTAAAGATTCACGCTGGAAAACTCAATGGCACGTAAGACGCGCGCGCACTCGGATTTTCAAAGCATATTTGTTTCGCAACAGCGCTTTTTAAGTTGTTATATTAGGCGTAAATACGGTAGTTTTTAAGGGGGAAATACTGTAGAAGTCTCGTGGTATGCAAAGAATGTCGTTTCAGCCCTCTCTGGATCATGCAACCGACCGTGAAGCTTTGAGAAATGAGCTGCTCGCCCAGAGAGAAGCGGATGTTGATGCGATGGTCTGGACAAGTAATGTACAGTGCTAACGAGGTGGCCGACGTGTTCCGCGTTCTTTTCACGCAGGGTGTCACTCCTTCACTTCCCCACTGCCAGTGGTGGTGGTGGTGGTTATCAACCAATCAGTGAAGAAACCCGAGCCCTGCTTCAACTCGAATGAAGTCAGAATAACCCGGATGTCCCACCACAAACAGGGGACATTTTATCGCACGATTAGTTTGTTCGAATTCCGGGTATGAATCACATGATCTTCGCAAAGCCCCCGGTTCTGATTATCTCTCAAAATCATGCGAACTAAAATTACATCAGATCAATTACAACATACAGTACAGTAGTTACCATTCCCAAAATAATTGTACTGCATGATTCTAAACCGGGGCTATCCACTATTGTAAGCATTTTCTTCATGAATCATGTCAAAAACCTAATGATTGGCATATCATGTAAACTCCCGTGTAGTCCTGTTTCAATCCGCTTCGGAAGAGCGACATCTAGGGCTAGCATTATTTTTCTGTTTTGAGTTTCGAGATACAGCACACAAATAAAGGTCCGCGTTACAAACAATGATGGCGTTACATCCAATGTTTGAGAAAATACTGTAGATGAAATTCCAGCCCTTTTAGAGGGTGAAAGCAGAATATTATCGGATAAAAGCAAAAATAAAAATTCTAGAAGAACGGGAATAGGGTAATACTGTGTCAGCCTCCAAATGCAAAGTTTAGGAACAGAGCCAGCGTTGAATCACCCTCCCTGGGGGCAAAATCATAAATTCTGGATCGGGGGGGGGGGGG